TAACTGCTAAGTGAGATGCCATCTTTGGTGTGGCATCACGTACCCGCATCCCTTCGTCACCATCTTGGGTGCTGGCAGAAGCCGCTTCCGGCTGGGCCGCCATCTTTGGTGTGGTACCACTAAGGCCCTCGCTCCTTACAAAGGTGTCTACTCGGCTGCCTGACGCCGACCGCACTGCCATGCCGACCTGGCTCCAGTGTCCATCCTGGCCCTGCCCCGTCCCGCCGTCGCCCTCCCGTAGTGACACACACACCGTCACTTCGGAAAGGACTGCCCAGCCCGGCAATGGCTTCAGAAAGAACCATGAAATTCAAGGGAAAGGCCATTTCCAAGAGAGGTGCTGGGGGGGGCGAAGGCAGCGTGTGCGGTTCTGGGCTGAGCTGCTCACGCCAAGCCCCTGCCTGGCTCTGACGTGCAGCTGCGCAGCGCCCACCGAGGCTCTCCGCAGATCTGTGGTGGGTGCTCGCAGCTCGCCTCGTCTGCCCTGAGCGAGCAGGGAGGTGAGCGGGCTCTGCCAGCCTCCGTGTTTGTTCTACACTCAGGCGCACCTTCAGTGCTCCTCTGTGTGTGGTCTCTGTGCTATCCGAGTCGTTGGTAAAGATGTGGTTTGTGGTCAGTGTAAGAGGCTGCGGTAGGGATTTCTGAGGTGAAATTTAGGTACTACACTTGTCTGTGACTGTCCCCTAAATTACCACTTGCAAAGTCCTTTGCAAACACATTCATCCCGTTCCTTTGCCTCCTCACAGAGCCAGCGGCTGGCTGGCATCCAGTCTCTTTAAAATGGTAAATAAATCAAGGTCCGGGACCAAGCCAGTGTGATTCTCACCACACAGTTCAGCGCTCCGGAGAGCTAATTGTCCTCATCGTGTCCTTCCAGCTATACCTTACACTCTGCTAGAACAACCTCCTGTGCACTTGCCTTATGCCACCTTAACCCCTCAGATGACACCAGGAGCCTTGGTAGGAGCAGGGACACAAAGCAGCAGGCAGGGAACAGGATCATCATCATCATCACCTTTCTTTTCCAATTTCATATCTTTCAGCTCTGGCCTGGAATCAGGTTTTTCATATATCACAGCCAGCCAGCTACTCAGCATTAATTTGCTCAGAGGCTTTTCCTGTGTTTTGCAACACACAAATCCTTGTGGCAGTCCTTTAAATCCTTCCATCTGGAAGGATCCAAAATTGTTTATGAACAATAATTCTTGGGTACCTCAACTTTGAAACACATCCTCTGTGTCGTAGAGTGAATTCAATCCAACAATAACCCAGGCCACGCTCTGGGTTATTTTGGGATGAATTGTTCTTCATTTCCCACAATGCAGCAGATGTATGTAGACCACCATATACACCCACTTAACATATCCAGATGGATCCTTTGACAAATTTTGAAGCATTTTGTTAATTTATTTCGCTTCAAATTCTCGACTAGTGTGATCTCATTTCACAGACTTCTCTCATAAATTGTCCGCTGGAAGTTTTATTTCCCAGGCTCGCCTTGGTGTTTCTCAGATGGAAATCAAGGAACAGTGACAGTAACTGTCAGCTCCTCTGCCAGTAACTTTGTTACCTTGCCCCACATCACCTCCCACGGCTTTCATGGGAAATGGTTTTTATCCTTTACCTACGCCTTATGCCTTACTCTGAAGCATTCAGCTTGGTGGAGCAGCATTTTGCATTTGACTGCTGGACCCTGCAGATACTTAATCTAGAAACCATTTTGATTCTTTTTAGATTAAAGAATTCACAATAATTCCCAATAAAGTCAGTGTCAGGTTTGGGGGTTTCCCCCTTAATGAAAGTCTTCAAAAAAACCCCAACCTTTAAACAGTTCAGTAGATTTTGTAAAACTGCCTCTATTCCAATATTTAAGATGTTATTTGAGAAGCAGCTCTTGACAATATAAAATTAATATGTGTTACACCCTATATTATAAAGGAAAAGAAAAAGAATTCAGCATTATTTTTGTATTAGTATATTATATATACATTACACATATATTATATATACAAATATTTGTATATTATTTGAAAAAATTTCGGTACATGAAATTATTTGGAAATGCTGTGCTAAATGTTAGTTTTTGCAATTGTTGAAACAGAACCTTTTTTCTTTATTGAAAGGGGTTTTTGTTAGTTTGTTTGTTTTCCCCAAGAAATACATTTACAGAAATTGATTTGTATCTGCAAAATGTTTGTGTTTTGATCAACACTACATTTTGTAATTGTAGAATCTGGTAGTTCAATCTGTCTTTCCATTGCCTTATGGGATCAGTGTGTCCTGCTCCAGACCTGCAGGCACCTTGCATATCCCCTACCATGTACAACCTTCATAGTCCTGCTTTTCCCCTCAGATTTCTCAGCTGAGCCTGAGGCCCCTGAAGAGACACCTTATAAATAGAAAAAGTTATTCATATCCATAAATCACCAAATAAACTGTACCTACAAGATCCAGAAGTCTTATGGGATGCTTTTGCCAGTTCTCAGCACTCCAAATTCACTGGGGTTGGTTTAATCCCCACAGGATTCTGGAGGAAGAAGGGAATGAATAATTCTGTATCCAGTCTGAGGGCTACATGATGTGTTGAAAAATTACACACCAAGTGAGGAGGCAAACCAGCTCATTGTGATCATCTAATTAAGAAATATGTAATTATCCCTACACTTAAGGGGTCTGAGCTTCCAGTTTACTTAGGAAGGAAGTCAGCCTCACCTAGATCCATGGGGAGCAACTAATCCTGGATTTCCAGACACATGAAGGACAAGCCAATCTCGACCAATCTGTGATTCTGTATTGCTCTAAGTTCTATGAAACAGTAATTTACAACAAGTTGATGGGAAATACTCAGAGAATGTAGAGGGGTAGAAATTACTTAGCCCATGCAAAAGTTTTTGTTACCTAAATTGGTGGATTGATAGCTTCCAATATAATTCTTGAAATGACTTTGAATACTGAAGCAGAGGAAATGTATTATAAATTGGAAGTTAGAAAAGGAAAAATAAGATTACTTTTTTTTTTCCATATCAAAATAAAAAACCCAGGGGAAAACATTGCCAATTTTCTGTCACAGTATATTTCACAGCTTGTATACTGTAGAGTTTTTTTTGTTGTTGTTGAATGGGGTTTTCAGTAAACTCTAACATTAACTTGAGGAAAAAAAAATCAACTAACAACTTCACTGAAAATAAATTTGATGTATCAAGTGCACATCAGTGTCTTGATTACACATTTTCCATAACATAATTAAACTATCCTGTTGAAATTCATTCCAATGAGCACCTTCTTAGAAATTTTCATCCTGAAAAATGAAAAAGGAAACAGAGTGACACATTCTTCAAGCAATGTAATGAACACAGCATTGGGATAAAAAATATTTTTTGTCTCTTATGCGTACAGAGGGATGCAGTGAGAACTGTAATAGCAGCTGGCTTTGCTGTCTCAGGCATGTTCAGCAAAGGATGCTCTCCAAAGACCTTCTCTTTAGTTGCAAGAACTGTGAAGGAATTATTGAGAAGTGGAGATCAGGAGGGCAGATTAAGGAAAAAACAAACAGGACCGTGCCCTTGCGTGTTCAGGGATACAGATAAGTAAGGAAAAATTTGTGTGTACAGAAACACGTTATTTCCTTGCCTGTGGAGGAAATGGAGAAGGCCATGTCCCCGATGCTCCACTTCAGGCATCCATCTGGGGAAAAATGATGGACTAAATGGGGAGAGTGTGGAATAAAATTGGGTGCTGGTGAGTGCAAACTGCAAAAGAGAGAAGAAACATCACCAAAGCTACACTCGTGGAGGCTGTACAAACACTGGGAGAAGGACAGGGAAAAGGAAGAAGACACAGGCAAGAAACCGAGAGAGAGATACGGGCAGTGGCAGCGAAATGAGGCAGCAGCGGGACAGCAGCGGTGAAAACGAAATGCCCTGGGAGGGTGGGAACTGGAGGACACCCGCGGGAATGAAAGTGCCGACGGGAGAAAAGTGGGAAGAAACAGGGGTGACCGCGCCAATGCACACACCCCGCAGCCCTCAGCGAGCCCCGCAGCCCTCAGCGAGCCCCGCAGCCCCCAGCGTCACACCGCAGCTGCTCAGTGACACCCCGCAGCCCCTCAGCGAGCCCCGCAGCCCCTCAGCGACACACCACAGCCCTCAGTGACACCCCGCAGCCCCTCAGCGAGCCCCGCAGCCCCTCAGCAGCGCGCTCCTGCCTCGCACGGAGCACCCGCGCCCCAAACCCGCGCTATCTCCCTCCAGCGCCGGGCCCGCGCAGCGCTCCGAGCGGGGCGGCCTCAGGGACCGCGCACACGGACACAAGGACACACGGACACACACACACCTGTGTGCACGTGTGGCCACGGACAGGCACGGACAAGCGGCCGGAAAGCGCCCACCCACGCTGTGCAATGCCATGTCCCCGAATCACGGAATACGCCCTGCGCTGGAAGCGACCCACAAGGATCATCGAGTCCAGCTCCCGGCTCTGCGCGGGACCGCTCCCAAAAGTCCCACCCTGTGCATCCCTGAGAGCGCTGTCCAAACACTCCTGGAGCTCTGGCAGCCTTGGCGCTGTGACCATTCCTGGGGAGCCTGTTCAGTGCCCCAGCACGCTCTGGGGAAGAACCTTCCCTGATATCCACCCTGACCCTGCCCTGACACAGCTCCAGCCGTTCCTGGGTCCTGTCCCTGGTCACCAGAGAGCGGAGATCAGGGCCTGCCCCTCCGCTTCCCCTCACGAAGTTGTAGATTCCAGGCGATGAGTTGTAGATTGTAGATTCTCTCGCCGTGCCGTGCCGTGCCGTGCCGTGCCGTGCCGTGCCGTGCCGTGCCGCCACGGGACGCGCACCCGACGCCGCCCGCTGGTTGCCGGCGCGGCCCCTTTAAATGCTAATGAGGCAGCGCGCGTGCCGCTCCGGCCCCCGCTGACTGTGTTAAAACTTCGGCGGGGCCATTTTGGGGGCAGTAAGACCGAGCGCGGCCGAGCACCCAACACCTCCGCCCGGCACCATGAGCGAGGCGCCGGAGACCAGCGCCGCCAGCCCCGCGCCCGCCGCGCCGCCCGTCCCGGCTGCGGCTGCCGCGCCGCCCGCGCCCGCCGTCCCGGACGCCGCTCCCAAGAGCCCCGCCAGCGCCGCCGCGCCGAGTGCGGCTGTTGCTGAGGCGGCCCCCGGCGCCGCCGCCGCAACCACAACCGCGGCGGCCGCGTCGGCGAAGAAAGTGCTGGGTGAGTACCGGGCCCTGCTCGCAACTTGGCGGCGCACCTGCAGCGGGGCGCGGGGTCCGCCGGCGGCCGCCACCCGCAGCCCGGCCCGGCGCGCTCCCCCCGCCCCACGCCGTGAGTCAGGCCGGGCCGCCTCCTCCCCGCGGGCCGGGGGAGCCGCGCGGCGCCGGCCGTGACGCGCTCGGGAGCTGGGCGGGAGCCCGGGTGTGCCTCATGGGCCCGGAGCGTGCGGGACAGCGAGCGCGGCACGGCCGGCTCAGCCCGTCCCGGCACCTGCCGGCGGCGGCCCCCCCGGGAAGGGCTGCCCGAAACCCTGTGTGCCTCTTCTTAATGTTAAGGTCCTGGAACAACTTTTCTATCCATAAAGAATCTTGCTTTAATATGCTTCCAGGTTTAGTGGGGTTTGTTTGTTTTGAGGATTCTTTTGGAGGGGCGGGGTTTGGTTTCTACTTTACTATCAGTAAGAAGGCAAACGAAATGTCATGTTGCCATCTCTCTGCTCAAGCCCAGTGCGTAGCAAGTGTGACTCGTTTTCATTGCGATTAAATAGGATCAACCTGTTGAAAAGGACAGGACTTCAAATGTGCAGGCTGCTGCCGATAGGGGTGTACTGTTTGTAACTGTGTAACTTCTGAGGGTTTGGTAAAGGCAAAGTTGGAGCTGACTTACAGTGTAGAGTCCCAGATTTCCTTAAGGATACACAGGACTTTCTCTTCTGAAAGGGAGAACTGATGTCTTGCTGCAAGAAAGAGAATCCAGGAAAACGATTTCTCTGAAGAGGAGTTAGAAAGAATTCTAGCAAAGCAAAGCTTGGAGGCACAGCTTGTGTGATTCATTTTTTTTTCCCCCTGTTACCTCATTTGTCAGTAATTAGTACACAGGAATCAGCATATCCATATCTGGTGGTATATCTAGTTGCTTCTTGCCTTAATGTGGCTTATTTCATTCCTGATAATGCTTTTGCCTTGTTCACCTATTCCTGTTGCTTGGAGAGAAGGGGTGGGGGGAAGTGAAGGTAGAAGTACCTTTCCTGAACTAGCAGGAAAATGAAAACCACCGTGGTAATGGTTTTGGAAAATGGCCTTATTGCTAGGCAAGCTTTTTATTAAGAATGATGAGGAAAAGGATCACTGTAAATGCTAATTGAAAATTGACTTATATTAAAGTCCACCTCAGATGTCCCTGTTAATGGTCACCTGTGTAGTTATGTTCCCTTAAGCCTTCTTTTACAAAGTTCCCATTAGAAGCAAAATCTTATGCTTGCTTGAGGCATCCAAATGTCTGGCTTCTAGGAATATGGGTAAAGGTTACTCAACTTTCTCTTTTTGGCTGGTCACAGGAAGCTTTGGCTGTCCTTGTTAAAAGGCTATTTTGTCATGGGTAGGAGTGGCTGGTGATTGTTTCCCCTGATAGTGTCAGAGGACAGCATCTTGTACAAGTATGTGGGCTTCCACTTGCTGGTGGGATGTACGTCAGCACACCAACTGCCTTCTGTGACTCATCACTTCAGCTGGTTACTGTGTTCTCCTCTGGGCTTGTCCTCCTTGCCAGACTTCCCTGCTCAGGCTTACCAGTGACTGTGCCATGGATGTTCAGTGTCATGCTTTTGTCTGAAGTTTTTTTGGCCCACAATGATACTTAGGGGAGACTGTAGATGTCTAATTTTGCTAGCACACTGTTTTAGGGGGAATATATTGGAGTCTCCCCCATGGAAAAATGTTGTTTTCAAACTGTGTGCATACTCCTCCACTTAGCAGCAGCTAGCTGGCCACAGAGTGAGTTTTGACAACCTCTCCTTCCCCAGCCTCTTGACCCCTCTGAGGGTTTTTGTCATGCTTCCTAGGCTTCTTCCTAATCTGGTTCAAGTAGGCTGACAGATTCCAGAGCTGTTTTGCAGAGGAGGGAAGGGATGATGTTGAGGGAAGCAGTGGTACTGGCATTGTTTCTCAGAGCAGGCTGAAACCTGCAGGTACCGTTGGCACTATTTCTGTGTTCCCCCTCCCCTCCTGTTGATTTGTGTGAATGCAGGGAGCTCTTGTGGCCAATGCCATTGTGGTAGCAGGAGGTGTCTGTATGTGGTGATGCCCCTATGAAACTAAACCTAAAAGCACAGCTATAAATACTGGTGCTGAACACTGTTTACTGAACCAGTTTGACACTGAAGGAATGTTTTTCGGTTCCAGTGAACAAGAATTCTTGGGAATGCATGTTGTACTATGCAGGGTCTTTTTTGCTAGGTGATATCTCAGTCATGTTAAGACTCCACTGATTCTGAATAAGACCATTTTCTACTAAAAAGTATATTAAAGAAGACCAAAAACTTCACTTCTCAAAGGGCAATGGAAAAGGGCCTGTTATTGGCAGTAATAACAGCAGCAGTGCTACAATGCACTGCTGTTGTCAGACACTCTTACTTGAGGGGCCGTGAGCCCAAAGGTCTGGCTGGCTCCGTCATCTCCTTGTGAATATTTGGAAAGAATACAGGTGTAGAGTAGATGGAGGTAACAATTTACAGTGTGTTCTTGCCTCTAGCAGAGTGGTGTGGACTTCTAAACTGGAGATTCTCTAGTCTGTTTTCCTTTATTGCCTCTTGAGTTCCTGCCACCCCCAAAACATGTATGTGAGGTTTTTAGCAAGCAGTTGTCTGTAGGTGACTGGACCCTTTTCAAGTAAGTACACGGGTTGCTTAAGTAGCTGTAATTGAGCTGTGTTAACAAGTAACAGCTCTTAAATTATGGAGGCTAGAGCTCTCCTTTAACTAGGGGTTTGAAAAGTACAAGTTGGTGGTGTCCATCCATTTGCTGTGAGGTAAGGAGAGGTTGAACTGCCTCCATCACTGTCGAGTTCCTCCTACACATTCCTACAAGTTGGAGAAACAGGTTTTGCCAGGTCCTATAAGACACTGTAGTGTGGCTTCTAAGTAAATGCTGTGTTACTGCCGAGACAGGAGCTTGCCTTGATACTGAAAGTCACGGAACATGAAGTTGGTCACTTTGTAACTACACGGTTGATGCCTAGAGAGGCTGACCTGGAGCAGAGGCTAAACAGTTTTAAAGGAATAAAGCGGGTGTTTATTAAAGGCCTTCAAGGGATGCACCTTGGACAGTACAGAGCCCTGCTGTGGCTCTACCCAAGATGGATGACTGGTCACGAGTTTTCACACTTTTATAAGTTTTGGTCTATTTACATATTGGGATTAATTGTCCAATTACAGCTTCAGGTTATGAAGTCCCATCCTCTCACATTGCTCTCATCAATTTGCTGTTGTTTGTATTTTTGGGCCTGAAGCTGTAGCCTGAAGCTTGGTTCTCAGGCTGGAAAAGGATTGTTTTGTCTAATTCAGCTGTGAAGAGAACTTGCTAACACTTCATATGAAGTTCAGAGTTACTAAGACAGTACGGAGTCTGAAAAATATGAAAGCTAAAACTTAAGGCATCACAATCACAGATCATCTTAGCAGTAGGATTACTAAAAAAAGAAAAAAAAAACCAAAAACAAGTCTTGTGGGGTCTTACTTGGTTATTGTGATGCTGACAATGCAAGAAGGAGCTTTTCCAGAATAAGGATGTACTGCCTTTCCACTAGAGAGGGTTGCACAGTACTTGATACTGCTTCTTTGGGCAGTTCTGGTTTTCAAGGAAGAAAGAAGGGTAACTGTAAGTAAAAGAGGGGAATTGTAGACAGTTTCCTTCAGGTGTATTTCATGTCTAGCTACTAACCTGAAGAGAACTGATGAACTGCAAGTGGGATTTTCAGCTTTGCTGCACATTTCTGGGATAGAGAATAAAAAAAGGGATAGATGTTCTATTCTGAAAATAGGGCTAGGTTTTGTGGTGTGTGGTAAACCCTTGACTGAAGAATAGTGTGTTAAAGTACTGTGTCTTGTTACTGCATTAGAATGAGCTGAACTGGGAGATGAAGGCACACTTTGAGTGTTAAGGGAACAGAATTAGTGTGGTTGCAACTTCATATGCAATTATAAAAGTATTTATGTAATGTTATTGTACTTCCTTATATTTTAGCTTAACTTCTTTAATTTTCTTTCCAGCCACCAAAGTTCTTGGCACAGTCAAGTGGTTCAATGTCAGAAATGGATATGGCTTTATCAACAGGTATGTTTAAATTCTGATAGTTGTATTTATGCTGTACTAAGACCCGTAGTACACAAGATAGGCCACGTGCTACTGATTGCAACAGAGACCTCAGGACCTGACTACAAGCTCATGCAGTTGATACTCAGCTTTGGCCAGGCACTCAGCAATCTTTCTTAAGCACCTCAGCCTCCAATAAAAGGTTATGTGCATGGGGAGAAAACAGAAAGGGTCAAACTCTACAAATTTGGTCTGTTACCTGTTTCTCATGTTTACTTCTGCTACACTCTTAATGAGCTATGTACTCTTTAGTGACTGCCTGACTTTTTTCAAAGGCCTGAGAAAGGTAGGAGGATGAGGGGAAATACTTTTGGGTAAACTTCAAGTGTTAACTGCTTGGTCAGAATACCTCCAGTGGATACTCATTGAGATTCACTGAAAGTATGCCAGGCCTGAGTTTCATAGAAATTTTCTCTTTGTATCTTTTGTTTTTTCCCCTCTTCTCTGGGCACAAACAAATCTCTGAATAGCATTGAGAATCCAAACAGCTGTAGATGAGATTGGTCATCTCTAGGTGGACATCTGTAACCTTAGGTGCAGAAGACCCATGCTTTCAGTTTACTGGAGGAAACTCTGGCTTTTAAGGCTGAAATATCTTTGTGGTTGAGAGGCTTAAATGTTTTGTGTGCTTTTTTGAGGAATGAAACTGCTGCATGCTGAACACTTGTCTTCCCAAAAACACACCTGACAAGTTATTTCACTTGAGTTGTTACACATCAGGCAGATTTGGGTGAGTTGGACAGTGCAGAAAGGGGTAGAAGACCCCACGTTTGTGGATCTGAAGCCAGTCGTGGTGTGGTATTAATCTCCGTCTCTGGAGGTTATTATCCAGTGTTACATAAGCTCAGAAGAAGAGTTTTAATTAGGAAGTCCTCTTAAAATCTGTAATAGCAGTTGATCTAAGAGCCTTCACCTGGTTGTGGTGTATTAACTTGTTAGCTTTCCTCCCAATGTGAAATCTACTATTGCTTCAATTCAGGACAATAAATTTGGGATTACGCATTATCTTCACAAACTCTTTGACCCACCTGTTGTGTGTGTTGAGAAGGAATTGAGTGAACAGATGGCAGGGCTTAGGCTCTTTTTTGTTGTATGGGAACACAGATTCAAGGTCTCAGACTTATCTCTGTGTTTTGTGGAAGCCTGAAGTGTCTGGCCTAATCCAGAAAACCTCACGTTCATATCTGGGTCCTCCTCCTGTGGACTCTCCTGACACCTCTTGTGCCTCTTTGCTTTGAATTTCACTGAAAGGAGATCTCTGTTAACAGCTGTGGCCAGTCCTGTTGATAGTCTTGTTTGACCTCTGGGGTAACAGCTCAGGTTGCAGTCCCTCTGAAAGTGTTTTTGGGGAGTTAGAGTAGTGAAAAACAAGCAGTCCGGTCATCAGCTCTGCCCTGCATAAAAGAAAACACTGAGTATTTGCCAGAAGATTACAGAGAACCTCCCCCATCTTCTCACCCTTTTGAAGGCCTGGGAACCCTTTCTGTTCTCAAGCAAATGACCATAGAAGTTCAGAGCAGGGTTTTGTAGCATAGGCTTAGACAGAATGTATGGAATTCAGGGCATGTGCTACAGGCTAGGAGAAGGAGGGTTTCACTTGAAAAGCCAGGAATTTCTATTAAAGTCTCTTAAGTCTAAACTCTTACGACTTCTCACTTTCTTTTCACAGAAACGATACCAAAGAAGATGTGTTTGTTCATCAGGTAAGACAGCAGGAGCTGTGCTTAGACATGTGTGCTATGGTAGCTTTCTAATGCAGCTTCCTGCAAAGCTCCACAACCTTGTCCTGGCTTCTCCTTAGAATGTTTTCTGCAGATAACTTGAGTGGATGTGTATGTTGAAGTTTTCAGGGAGAAACGTTAGGTTGTTTTCCTTCTATATGAAGGGCTAGGTATTTTAGCCCTTCTTAACCCTTTTTGTCTGCTCTAATTTGAACACTAAAGGTGTTTTTTGGTGTGGTTTTTGTTTGGTTGTCTCCTCTTGGTGAGATGATTCCTCTGTGAATACCTTGCTGCTGTTGTCTGTCCTTCCCCTGTTTCCTCATGCTCTTTGTGCTTTTTGTTTCTTCCTACTCTCTTCACTTGCAGGTCTGTTCTGTCTGCCCTCCCTGGTATTGGAGAGAAAGTGATCTAGTCTGGCTCTTGACCAGCCTGGGTTGCCATCAGCTGTTTCTGCACAAGGCAGCTGCTCTTGGGCAGAAGAGGAGGAAGGCTGTGTGCCAAGTATGCCCAAGCAGAGAGAGCTTGCCCAGCGGCTCGTTATTGGTTAACTTTCCTTGAGCTGTCAGGAGGCTGTTCTAAGTTTATACTGTGACTCTCAGGTTGCAGGCACATAATGGCAAGACAGAGGATGCTGTCTCCATGCTGATGTCAAATGATTAGTTGGCTTAGATCTGGTTTTGCATCATTCACCAGAAAGTGCAATCTTGCCCCTAGAGTTTGGCCCATATAAAATGTCTGCAGGCTCATGTGATCTTTGAGAGCATGAGCTTTCTCTGTGGTGTGACAGCATTTCTATCAAATGTAACCAGGAAGTTTGTTCCCAGAGCTGGTCACTGAGAATGAGGATATGTGCATATATCCTTAGCTGGTGAGTCAACACTGAGAGTTAGTTTAGTTCTTGTGTCTTGATGACTAAATAGTGGTAACTGTGGTAACAGTGGTAACTGTTTCTCTGGGTCATAGGGTGTACACCCATTATCTGAACCTGGCTGGAGCTGGAAGGGGATAAATCTAGTGCCTGTTATGAGAGAAAATGATGTTGGGAAGTGTGCACAGTGCATGTTCTTGGTTCAGCTGGTGGGCTTGAGAGCAAGAGCTGTCAGTGCATATACAGATTTTTGATGGCCACTTTCCTTCCTTAGCAGCCTGTGCTGTGGGCATGCTGACACATATGTGGTCTGGTGGGATTGTGTCCACAGGAGGATGGGAACAGTTCTGGAAGAGAAACGTGTTCTGGATAGGCAGTGCTGCCTTAAAGACAAATGAGGTTTCCTTGATACTTGTGAGACAATATCCTGGAAAATGGCAGTTGTGCTGATGATAGATAACATGGATCAGTGTTATTGTGCTTGGGAGGGCTGCCAGCTGAGACCCAAACAGAAAGGTAGTGTATCTGTGCTGTTTTGTCTCCTTCATCTGTAGAGGAGATTGTTCCCCTAAATGTAAGCTGGTGAGTGTGTGTGGAGAGGGGTGGGCACTTCCCCTCTACTGTGGCTGAAGTCCTTTTGGTGTGAGCAAAACTGGCTTTGTTTCAGAAATACCACATCATGTGCAGGCCTGCATCAGATGAACCCTCTTGGCAGGCTGTGCATGGCAGAGTAGAGGCTTCTAGTGCTGCTCTGGCTTGGCAGCAGTCAGATGTTCCTCATCCTGTACATGGATGTGCTCGCTCCCAGAGCCTGGGACAGCCAGAGCTCCTGGTGAGGCTGTCTGAGGAGGGAGGCAAATCCATGCTGTGAGCAAACATCCTGCTTCAAGCTCCCTCTGTGCTGATAGTGCCCTCGTGCCTGGGAGGGGCTGGATTACACTCCTAATCCCTTCAGAATAAGGCTGACCTAGTTGAATAGATACAGCTTCTCCCTGCCTCCCCTGCATGGAATGGCCGACCTCATGATTGGAATGGGGGTTAGTGCTTGGTGTCTGGCTATTGGATGCTATTTATAACTAGTACAGATTAAAATGCTTTTCTTTTTAGGGCATGCATGGCTTGCTTTGAGTTAACCCTTTGTCTTGCAGGGGCCCCAGGCAGTGTTTTTGGGAAGGACAGCTCTTTGCTTTGCATCCCTGTCTGGTTGGTTGGTGCAAGGTGTGGCCCAGGGCACTGTATCCGTCAGCTACAGGTGCTGTGAGCAGAGGGGATCCATCTGCCTCATGGGCTGCAGTGTGTCTCACAATTTAACTACAGGAAGCGTGTCAGCAGCCAGAGCAGTTACATTTAATGAGGCAGAGTTGAAATCAATGAGCTGTGAGGAGGAGTTAATCTTTCTCTTCACTGCACTGGATTATGTTGATCATGCACAGCCTGAAGTACCTGCACCAGGAATCAGTGTAATAAATTTTGGCTGATACTGGGACAAGGCTGGATGTGCTGATGATGTGGTGGTATGAGCATATGGAAAGAACTCTTTCAAACAAGAACCTGAACTAGCTCTGGAGGCTCTTCTGGTTGCCTGTTCATCAGTATTCCCTCTGGGAAAGGAAAGGCTTTGTTGTTGAGTGTTGTCTGTTAATATGAAACATCTGTCTTCTGAATCAGAGAAGCTGGAGCCTGCAGCATGCTGGTAAACAGTATCAGGGAGAATAGTGCTCTCTTCCCTCTGGATACACAGAGTAAAAGTCTTTTCATCAAGCTTAGAGCTTAGGCTTGTTAGAGGCTTATTTCAGGGATGTTTATCTGCAGCTGAAGTAGTAAAGCTTTAGAGTTTCTGCTTGGATTTCTAGGATTTACTTAAAGTTGTCCTGATTGCCTTTATAAAACAAGCTCCAGCCTACTGCAGCCTCTACCTTCTGCTGGCAGTTGCAGATCTGGATTCTTCAAGTTTCTGCCCATAAAGCTGGGAACAGAACATGTGGAATACTGTTGCTTTTATCTTTCATTATGCTTTTTGAAGGGTATTTGAGGAGCTTCATCTATCTTATGTATACCCTCTGCTGAAAAGAAATTTTTTAGTCTTTTCTTCTTTTGCACTTACAGGGAAGGGGAAAGAGTTTGAAATACAGCTTATTGACATCTCTGTGACATGCAAAGCACAAGTTTAGAAGTTTTAGTCAAATAGTACTTGTTTCAGTACAACTAGTACTAAATCAATAACTTCGCTGCAGATTGAGGGTTTTAGTACTAGGATATAAAATTTATGGAAAAGCAAACACTTTGATCTGATTTTTAGAAGTGCGACAGTTATACTAAAGTCAGCAAAAAGCAAACAAAGTTGTTTGAGGTACTTGTGGAGTCTCTGCTTGCTAAAGTAATTCCCAAAGGAATTGACTTGAACAGGTAATTCTGTTTCTGTATTAAAAAACCCCAAACCTCTTGGAATATTTTTGCTTTGACAATTATAGTATGTACACTCTTGCATCCTTCCTTAGGCTGCTCAGGGATGCTTCAGGATATAGGGAAAGGTATGGCTAGAAGGACGTGCTGGTCTGTGGCCTGAAACACAAAGGAGACTGTATTGAGCAGCAAGGAAAGTAGGTTTCCTAGAGTAGTCAAGATGAGCTTTAAACTGAATAAATTTTTCCTTCAGTTGGAAATATTTTGGGGCTGTTGTTGACTAAATATTGTTGCTGTGCAAAGGTAACAGCTCCACTGATGGTCATTGTGCAGACAGACAGGACAACTGGCTCTCCTGTTTCTGCCCCACATCCAATTTCTTAAGCCATGTTTATGCCCTGTGTTTCCATGTGTGTTTCTCTTTGCTGGCTCTGTACCTCCCTCCTTCATGCTAACTAAAGGTTCCCACATCAGGAATGTGAATTGGTCTTCAATAATCTAGTGCAAGATAATAATCTTTCAGTGAGAAAATAGCGACTGGATTAGCTTGTACAATGCATGTCTTGGTCTTTTCTCCCTGGCATCTTCCAGTTTGCAAAGCCTTGCCTAATGAACAGACCATAGGCTTGTCTTGATAAAAGCCTTTTGTGGAGTCCTAGAAGTACTCCACAGAGTACAAGCAAGGTATTTGTAGACTGAAAATTGCTCCAGGAGTTATGAGTGTTTCCTGTGAGTCTGAGGAGGTGTATAACTGGCTTTGATCCAAACCCATGTTGTTACTTTTATGTAACAATAAGAGTATTATCATTAATAGCTATTATTGTGCTACTTTGGGGTTTCTGTCGCAGAGATGGCTAAGATTCCATCTGTCTGTTCTGGTACTATTCTGTGTTATTACAGACTCACCTAATATTTGTGGTGTCATTTACAGTGCTTAGATAAAATGCTGATTTGTTGCACCAGAGTTACAGTAATTCTTTTCTAGTTGCTATGACTTGCCATGATACCATATAGTTAATGCTTCTACAGAAATGCTCTGGGTCTTGAGTTCTCTTTAGATGGTCTACTGCTCTCCTAATGACTGAAGGCAGGGATCACACTTGCTGCTAGTGCTGCCTTGGCACTGAGTATGAACTCTGTTCATGCAGAGATTTGCAGTAATTTCCATATCCAGTGTGCTGGACAGAGCAGATCCTGGAGCAGCAGGTGATTTATGAACTTATAGATAGTGAGAGAAGAGGAGACCTTGAACTGAGTATTGGTGGGCCTGTGAAATAAGAGACATCAGTCTGTTTGAAATACCTTAGTGCACTGACTGCTCTGGTGTGTAGAGTTGGAATTGTAGCAGAGAAATGCTGCCCTTCCCTCATCTGTGGGGCTAAGAATGTGTAACATAAGTAACATAAAATAATATATTTTTATGCATTTTCCTTTCAAGACGGCGATAAAGAAAAACAATCCACGGAAGTACCTGCGCAGCGTTGGTGATGGAGAGACTGTAGAATTTGATGTGGTTGAGGGAGAGAAGGTGAGAGATCATGGAGCCGCAGGGTGTGGTCCTACAGAGATAATATCACACAACTTTAGCTGTGCCTTTGATGTCTCTGTCTGATGTGTGAACTGCTGGGTTGGTGGCATTCATATAGCTTTTCTGGGGGAAATCTGTTCTTTAAAGGTGTCATTAAGGCATATTTCTAGATATGTATCAAAACTACTAGGAAACTGCATCCTAGTGATTCTGGAATCTGCAGTTGTTCCTTGAGAGAACATGGGAAGCCTACAGCCTGCCCAGTAATTATGAACTGAGGCCTACATTGCACTGAACAATTTGTCTTCGAGTCTGATACCTTAGTAACTGTAAGAACTTTCAATTTCCTTATGCTTCTACTTTCCTGAACATTTTTTGAGGTTTATTTTTGACTGTCAGTTCCTTCTTGCTTCCTCCTCTGAACTCAGGCTGTTGGATAGGATTTCAGTCTCTTAACTCATGATAAATCTCTTGTTTAAGGGGTTGGGAATAACAAGCCTCCTTTTGCCTTGTGCAGGAGGAAGTTCCAAGTTACAGTGATTCCTTATGCAAATAAGCCTCTTTCCTGTTTCATCTTCTCCCTGTAGCTGGTTGCTCTTTTCTCACACCACCCTGGCTACCTTTCCTTTGCCCTTACAGGGTGCAGAGGCAGCCAATGTCACTGGTCCAGATGGAGTCCCTGTGGAAGGCAGCCGCTACGCTGCAGACCGGCGCCGCTACCGACGGGGCTACTTTGGCCGGCGCCGGGGCCCGCCTCGGAGTGTGAGTCCCCTTTCCCTGCATTGCTGCTGCCACACACAGTACTGGCAGGGCTGTTTCTCACCTGACTGTCTGAGGCACTTCTGATCATGCAACATAGGTCTAATAAACTTTCAAGTTATGGTGTACAAGGCATCTCGACAAAACCAGAACAGTTTGGTATTGCAGAGTGGATAGGCAGTATAAAGCTGTTGTAAACTGAGAAGTGTTATTTTTTTGAGTTCTGAGTCTCTCAATTATACCTCAACTGCTGTCAGATACTAACTGTTCCTACTATCTATCCTAGTTCCTTTGGATATTTAGTTATCCTGATCATTTTTATACATGAGAGAACATCACAGATGATTGCAGGGTTTTTAATTGTGTATGGTCATGGTGGTTGTGCAAAATGGCTGTGCAAAATGGGAAGGATGCCTGTCAAACTTAAGGTAGACTACTAAGGGCTGTTAAGACACCACAGCTTTTGCTTCCTGCTGGATCAGATGCAGAAGATGCACTTCTGTTTCTAGGTATCTTGTTAAATTCCTTCTTTTGAGGGAAAGAATAATGCACAAGAAACTCTAACTCATGTAACATTTTCTAAAACAGACATTACTGATGGCTGGCATTTAAAACACAAATCACAAACAAAAATCAAACCAGAAAAAACACCCAAACCAACGTGCAGCTTTATCAATTAGCTACTAAAGGGGAAAGATAACCACTGTATCTCTGAAAGATTGAAAGGACTGTGTAGAAAGATAAACTGTATTACATCACATCAAACACTCTATCTTAAAACATCTTGATATTGTTGTGGGGGGTTCCCTGTGGAATGGGGCTTTGTGTAGAATGTGAAGTGGTCTGTGGCAAATTTCTGTGTTATGTCTGTTAGCTTTTCAAATAAAGAATTGTCCTGATCAGTAGCTGCCTTGCCATAACATGTACCCCTTACAGTGCATTTCATGTAGTGAAATGCAGTTAATATGTTCAGAGAGAATGTTTCTAAGAACAGCTTCTTAGTCTGAGGAGCAGCATTGATGGCTCTTGTTTTGTCCTCATCTTAAGTTTGCCCAAATTTAAGCCTTTTGAGAATCTACTGCTTCTTTTTACCCAATATGCTGGGATTTCTGTGCTGATATATTTGTTTTGAGCTTGCATTCAGTGTTATGGTTAATATACTGCCTGTCAAATACAACACTTGTGTTCTTTGGGTAGCAGGGTGCTGAGGGAGAAATCAAGGATGGGGTCACAGAAGGAGGACAACTTCAGCAAGTGCACAGGAATCCTACCTACCGTCCCCGCTATCGCAGGTGTGTACAGTTCCTCTGCTCAGTCACTTTTGTGCTCTGTACAGGCTTCCAAGTGGGGGAGCACTTATGGTAGGCACAGTGAGAAGCATTTTAATTACTTGGAGAAATTTGTTTCATGTGCTTGTATGTTCAGAATCATAATGGCCTAGAAAGGGCAAAGAATTCTTAGCATCCTATTACTTCTCACAACTGAGCAGCATATTGAAGTCAGCTGCAGTGTCCATGTCCTCCCAGATGAACACTCATACTTTTCTGGATAAGTAATAGCTTATACTTTATCTGGGACCCTGCTGGGGGTGCTGGTGGGTGAAAACTTGTGTGTGTAAGCTGGTAAATGTGGAGTTGCAGCCCAGAAAGCCACCCATATCCTGGGGTGCAGCAGGAGCAGCATGGCCAGCAGGCTGAGGGAGCTGACTGCCCAGTACTTGAATGGGGCTTATAAGAAAGATGGAGATGAACTTCTTAAGAGGGCCTGTTGTGTTTGTTAGCATGAAGGGTAATGGTTTTAAACTAAGAGATTTAGTATAAATGGAAGGAAGACTTTTTTACTATGAATGTGGTAGAACACTGAAATAGTGCTCTACTGAAAATGTTGCCCAGAGAGGTGGTAGAAGCCCCTTACAAGGTCAGGTTGGAGAGTGCTCTGAGCCACCTGAGCTAGCTGAAGGGGTTTGGACAAATTGCCTTTAAAGGTCCTCAAGGGGCTGGTTTGTCTGCCATTCACTCAGTTGCCCCTCATCATATTGTCCTTGTTTATCAAGTAGCTTGTGAAGTCAAACTCCAATACAGAATTTAGAGATGAACTGTAAAAATGATGTAATCCCCATTTTTTCATGTGCATGTTTGTTCAAAAACAAAAAGTAGGAGGTGAATAACAGTGCAACAGCAGCAACAAGCTGAATTTGATAGGGATAACAAGATTGTTCTTAATGTAATGACTTGCCTGTTCAATGCACAATGGATTCATCCTTTTGGAATCTGGGTCTAAAGCCACAAGCCTTCCACCTCTAGTTTGGGTTTTTCTGTTGATGCATATTCATGTTCAATTTGGCTCTTTTATCTAGGACTGTGGGAAATGCGATACTACTGATGCTTGCTGCTTGTTGGCATCCAAGCTGAATAAATATAATTCCTGCAAGTCTTCATTAGTTTTGGGCAGTCAGAGATAGTGCCATAGCAAGTCCAGTGAGGCTTTTGCACGTCATGGGGTTGAATCACAGGCTGAGTAACTTGTCCATGACTAATGGAAACTTGTTATTTTCTGATGCAATTTTCCTATGAGAGGAATGATACAGCCTATCAGTGCACAACGCTTCTGTTTGAGTTCACAGATATTGTTTTTGTTTACAGGCACTCAATCCAGTGACACTGGCACTTTTGTTATGTTCCTTTGGAAAAGCTAAATTGGCTTTTGGGACTTGGTGGCTGTGGATTAGCTAATGGGAACTGGATTTTGGCTGGATTTTGACAGTTTATAAGCATTGCATATACTAGAAATCAGGTGAAATGCTCTTGTATACATCAAGAACATGGACTTGCTAGCTTAGTGCTAATCAGGTCCAGCTCACCTGTGATAGGTGCTTTTCCTAATTGGTTAAGAGGGGCAACATGAGGCAAAGAGCCAAGATCCAGGAATGGTTTTCAGGTAGAAGTGAGGAGGATTGCAAGGACTCCACCATTAATTAGGAATAGGACTAGGCTGGTATTTAGCCATGTCAAAGCTAACTCAGCGCAATCAGCCTGTGTGGCCACTACTGGCTTGTTTCTTCTGCTAGCTAGCAATTCAAAGGGGCTAGCTGCATCTTCCTTGCAGGATAGACAGCAGAATGTGGTGATGTAGCTTCAGCAGTGAAGAGACACCCACTTTCCTTGTCTTTCCTTTCCAACCATATGTCAGCCAAACCCTGAAGGGACGGTTTGCTAGAACTCTAAACCGTTGAGGATGATACTTGGTTTTGGGAGGTTTTGCTGGGCTAAAATTACTGTAGTTGAACCTTTCTTGATTTTGTTCTTACCACCTCTTTCTGCCCCTCTCAGAGGGCCCCCTCGCCCACGCCCTGCCCCGGCGACTGGAGAGGCTGAAAACAAGGAGAACCATCATGAGGCCAGTGCCATGAGCCAGCAGCCGCTGCGCCGCGGCTACCGGCGCCCCTACAACTACCGGCGCCGGCCGCGCCCAGCCAGCGCCCCGCCACAGGAGGGCAAGGAGGTACGGACAGGCAGCTGCTCAGGGCACGAGCACCTCCCTGCCAGGGAGCCCTGGGGGAGTTGGGCTGCCTCAGCCTTTGGGGGCACCTCATTGTGGCCTTGCGGGGCCTGAAGGGAAAGATGAGGCAAGACAGTTGCAAGGGCCTGGAGTGACAGGACAAGGGGGAATGAGTTAAAACTGAAAGGGAGTAGGTGTAGATTGGATATGAGGGAAAAAAAATTTCCCTTATGAGGATGGTGAGGCACTGACACAGGTTGCCCAGGTAAGCTGTGGCTGCCCAATCCCTGGAAGAGTTCAAGGCCAGGTTGGATGGAACTCTGAGCAGCCTGGGATAGTGGAAGGTGTCCCTGTGTCACAGACATCTTTTCATTAAAATCCTTTCGTTAGGATTTTTCCTGCTGAAGCTGAGAAGTTTCAGCAACAAAGTGTAAACAAGGGTTATCTGCTGCTGTGGAATGCAACGGGTGGATCCGTGATTGGTCTCCTATGGATGTTTGGATTTACTGACCACTCACGGCAGAGCTGGGTCTTGCTCTCTGCTGGGACACAGACCTTTGTTATTCATTCTTTTCTATTCTTAGCTTAGCTAGCCTTCTGAGAACTTTTCCTTCTATTCTTTTTAGTATAATGTAGTATATATATTCATAAAATAATAAATCAAGCCTTCTGAACATGGAATCAACATTCTCATCTTTCTCTCACCCTCCAAACCCTTGTGACCACCATCACATCCCTGTCCATGGCAGAGGGTTGGAATGAGGTGATCTTCAGGGTCCCCTTCCAACCCAAACGAGTTAATCATTGTATGTAGCAGAGGTTTTAATGGGATGAATGCCCAAGACCTTCTGTCCTGTGTGAATTTTTAATAAATGTATTCATGTGCTGGATAATTCTGATGACCAAATCTGACATGTTGATTTCCTTGCCTGCTTCTTCTGATGCTCTTTGAGAATAAGCACCCGATCTCAAAAGGAATTTAAAAGGCAGTAGGATAGGGAGTGCTTCTGGATAGTTCTTAATTGGGGTCAGACTGTAACAATTATTTTTGAAGGGCAAACAGTTGTGTTTTCCTGCTTCCATAAACCTTAACTCTGTATGTAGCATGAGACATGGATTTGAAAGCTCTAGATCCATTTCCTGAACTGTTTGAACCAGATAATTACAGGAAACTGTTTGCAAACACAGATTCTACTTTAATGAGGATTTTGCTCATTCAGTGTCTACTTCAGGTGTTCCCTTGACAGAATCTGCTGTGTAATACTCAATTACAAAAAAATACACTAAAATTAAATATTTTCTGGAGATGCATTTTTCTTGATTGTTTTAAAACCTGCATTATGCTGGCTGTACTGCTGAAGAGAGGAAGGGTGTGTTCCTTTGCCTACAATAAGAGTTTGTTGTGTCTCAGGCAAAGACAACTGAAACACCTGCTGAAAATCCTGCTCCAGTGACAGAGCAGAGTGGTGCTGAGTAATGTCCGGCTCCCCAGGCACCTTTACCATCACTCAGGTAAGGAATATGGACTGTTCTGTTTCCTAGTGAAAGCAGAGTGTGTATGCTTCTAGGATTCTGGCCACATCCCCTTGTGTAGGGCTTGATATTTGTGTAAGTTCTAAGAGTGCTGTAGAGGCAAACCAAGATACTGCTTTTCTCTTCTTTCTTCCCTCTGCCTCTGGATTTGTCACAAAGTAAGTTTTACTTTATAATTGATTACTCTTTTTCCAGGAAGCTCTCTGGTCTGTATAGTAACAGCTCTGCTGATGAGTTATTTTATTTTAGGAAGATCCTGATTATGGACAGTATAAGCCAGTTGTGCTTATCCTGCCTGTTATAATTCTTTTCATTTGACATCTTGTCTATTTATTGAGACAGTGAAACTTAAACTGCATTTTTTTTAACATGTGGCTCTTCAACAGGTGTCCTAAAGTATCACTCAAAAGTAACACCAAAGAAACAAACAAGCAATAAATTGTCAACAGTGATGACGAAAGCAAAGATTTGAAATACCAAAATGTAAAAGAAAATTTACCAGCAGCTGAGATCCAGGGAACGCCTGCAAGATAGATGCATGAAGAGAGAAAGAGAGCGCGATTCAGAAAGAACCACCTCCCTAGTTTTAACAGCAACTGTTGAGCTATTTGATTTTGGAGGTTTTTTTCCCTAGAATTTCACTGTTTTGCTAGTATTGATTTTTTTTCAATTTTTCTTTTGGTATCAAACTGAAAAGGGAAAAAAAAAACAACCAAAGAACTAAAATTGAAATAAAATGCTTTTTGTATTGGATGCTGGTGCTAAACCTCCCAAGTGTGAGTTTTTTTTCTGTGCCAGTCCTGTTCACTGCAGGACATGGGGAGGACAAACTTCCGCTTTCCTTGTTAAGATCTATTTGAAACTGTGCAGCATGGGTGACGTTCCTCACAAATAAAAGTGATTTCAACTACCAAAAAAAATCTGGTTTAGAGTATTTTTTTATGTTTGCTTTTAAAATAATTCATTGTTTTAATCTTGTTCCTTCAGTGCTTATATGTGAAAGAGAGCTGCCTCTTTGGTGTGTCTTGCTAGATGATACCTGAGCATGGTTATGTGGATATATACTTTTGTGATTTCTTTGCAGAAGTCTTGGACTAAACAGCTATAACTTACAGTGTTCCCTCTGTTCCTTTCACTGTAATGGTTTAATAGTTGGGTTTTCCTGTTACTGTCTTGTGGCAGGAGTTTAGGGGATGTGGAGTGAGTTCCTGGAATGTTTTTTTTCTCATCTGTTTTACTAGGCCTTTGTGTTGTGTAAACAGTAGAATCCAAGTTTTGAGACTCTGCTCAAGGACACTTGTGTAGTAACTACCACTTCATCTAAGCTTCTGTTTTGAATAATGTTTGACTGGCTTCTCCACTCTATTTCAAACCAGTGAAATCTCTGTACCTGTGCCATCTTATGTTAATGGGCAAAGTACTCAGCTATCTTATAATATCAGGGGTGTTTTAATGTTCCTCCCTAAAATTTGGCTGTATTCCAGGTGTTATCAGTCTGCTTCCAGCTGTTGACTCTGGGTGCATATCTTGTGTCCTTCATTGTCTAGTCCAGCATTTCTCACTGTCTTGCAGTTGCTGTTACCCAAATCCTAGATAAGCATATTTGTTTCTCAAACAAATAATCCTGTTATTATTCAGGAACTGAGCAGAGAGTGCGGGGCATAAAAAATTGCACTCAAAAGCTCTTTGCTTCCAGCTTCTGGGAAGGTGAGCAAGGACTCTTGCATCCTATTGCCTTTGCCTTGGGGACAAGGAGGGTGGGAAGAGGCTGAGTGGTGCCTGAGCTGCAAAGCTTACAGCTGCCTGAATTGCAAGGGATTAGGAACCTTTTAATGGTTGTGAAGTGAAAGCCATAGGCTTGGCTGAGGAAGAGATCTTTACTTGGAAGATGAAGAAATATGTCTGTTTTGACAAAAAATGCAATAAGGTGAGGAAAATATAAGTAATGGTGCCTTAAAAAAAATTCTTAAGCAGGATAAATTTTTTTAGGCTTAAATTTTGCTCCAAACTAAATGTGCAGACATACTGGGGAGAGGTTGATAATTTCACCATAATAAGGAGATGCAAGATATTCATAAATACTGAAATATTAATGCAGAACTTGTCATAAAAACTACTTTAACTGCCTTCAATAGGTGCTTTTCCTTGAGAGATTTGACAGGCTAAAGAGAATTTTCTTAATCTCTGCAAAAATGTAGGTCAGATTGAATCAGGTTAACAAACGTACCGAACTGGCTTTTTTCTTTTTTTAGTGAATGGAGAAAGTGAGGGAGAGATGCAAGTAATGTCCTAGCATTAAGTTCTGTTTGTTATCTCTGTCCTGCCTTTAGTAAGAATGTTTGCATAAAACAGAAGCCAGTGACTGACATAACCTCCTTCATCCCTCTCAGTTCCCTGGTTATGAAAATGTAAGCTTAATTCTAGCAAAGTTTAAAGCACTCACTGAAATTACATCTTAGATATCTTGGGCTGTACATAAGTTATTCCTTTACTAGGCCTCTTATGCACTTGTTAGCTGAATTTGCCAGAAAAAAAATATAAACCTGGTGCTCAATAATGAGGGTCATATCTCTGGGCAGCTTGTGCTGTAAATAAGGCTATGGGTTATTTGCCTCAAGCAGAATTTCAGATGAGAGCTTACTTGTGTTGTGTTGGTTTGATTTTTTTTAAAAAAGATTTTGAGTTTGCAGAGTAGCTGATGTGCTGCAAAAACATTCCCTGTGGCTTGTGAACTTTTGAGGAGGATAAAGAAAGGCAGAAAACAGTTCTGTAGGCCTTCCTTTGTGCATGGTTTCATTTGAACATAATTGCAATACAAGGCATTCACAGCCTGGTGAGAGAGATAGGTGTGCTGCAAGCTTCTGTCTCAGACAGTGCTGCTGCCATGGGAGAACTACACAGGTGCAACAAGTGCCTTGGAAGTGAAACACTTCCTGTTGGAAAAAGTGCTGGAAATAAAGCCTGTGCTACATAGTTTGTTATGAGGCCTGTGAAATCAGCTGTGGATGTCTGAGTCTGTTAATTGTGGATTTTTTACAGAGTCTCTTTGCACATCCCGAGTTCAAAGCCATGGCCTTAGACATCATTCTGCTTTCTGCTGGTTTGGCTTTTTGGAGAACCAGTGAGCCTTCAGCGCTGCTGTGGTTCTGTAGAGAATCTGTAGAGAGAAAGTCCATGCTCTGAAGTCCTCAGAGCTGTAGGGAAAATCATTCTGCTGGAGCTAAGTGGCAGTGGGATCCTTCCACAGGTGTAAATGGGATGAGAAGATTTTGGAGGCCATGTCAAATAAGTGGTAGCTTAAATATTGTTTTGTTCTGTTTGCAATAATGGAGCAAGGCTGCTATGACTGAATTTTGAGTCCTAGAGCAGGACAACCATGCACTGAGCAGAAAATAGATCTTGATGACTTAGTACCACCAGCTGATGAGATGAGTAATTAATATCTTAAGGTTTTAAAATGTGATAGAAAAGACTCAGAGCTTCATATTTTCTGACTAGTGTCAAAATACATTATTCTTCAGTGTTTGGCTGTAAGTTTTGACTTGTAAATGGTGACTTGAGTAGGACCATAAAGGTCCTTAGTGTATCAATTATACACTGCCATTTTCATGCCAGTAGTGCTTATGTGATACAGTTCTTGTTCAGAAAAAAAGATTATTTTAATAGTATGTGTAAATAGATATATTTACATATAATTTTACATATATATTATATATATAATATACATATATATAATAAATCTGTGTTACAGATTCAATTTCAGGAAAAATTGCTGCAAGAATGTGGACTGAAATTTTGAAAATATGCTAAAAGGTAAAACAGCTCATATGGATGCTTGAGCCTTTCTGAGGTAATTTGGACTATAATAAAGAACTGGAGGGCAGTAATAGTAAATGAAATAAATATTCTGAACAGAGCTCCTGGACATGTTCTGACAAGGTTGAGATGCCTGAGTGTGAAATGTTCTCATTTCAGCACTCTTTCAGTTGTTTTACACTGGAAAGAAGGGCACAGTTTGAACCAGAAGAATTTCCATCAGAATTATACAGGAGGCTTTATATAAGTCTCATCTGTTTCTTGGTAAGAAACTGTTAATGGAAACAATACTCTAAAATATTCTCAATGCTCTAAAGCAGAGTATTGAGAATATTTATGGCTCCACTTGATGGCTCTTGGATAGGTTACTCTTGGACATCAGCCTGTTGACCTGCCAACAGGTGCAGTGCGTAACTACACCTCAGATCAGTAAATTTTGCTGTGTCATGAGTGGTAAAAGCATTGCAGCGTTACACCCCACACAACTGCTGACACTTCTCATCACAGGAAATGGGTGCTGGGGAGTTAAGAGATGTCAGCAATCCAGTTTGTGGTACAGTTAGGTGAGCACTAGATGGGGCTGTTACTCCACTTAATTTTTTCTGGAAATTCATGGACACACCCCTATGACAAGAAATAAAGGTGTTGCAATGTGGGCCATCTGGGGTCTGCTGCAGGCTCGAGGGGGGCTGAAATAGGGTAGATGGTGAGTAATAACCCAGTAAATAAATAAAGGATAAAAATAGCAAAGTAAAAATATAAATATCTTGCTGTATAGTTTTTCTAGGAATAAGCACTGCTCCCTATCCCTAACTTTCCTCTCGTAATCGTCACATAACTGAAGAAAATCTTGGGGAGAAGTGAAGACCTACCCATGGGAAAGTCAAGTGTAGAGTTCAAAGTTTGTTCTTACCATTTGTATCTCTAGAAATACTTGGTATTAAAAAAAACCAAACACCCAAAGTTAAATTGTCTGCATATTTTTTACTTTGGTGGATAAACATTTTGTCTGAATTTAGATCAACCACTCTCAAAGAAATACACAGCCTAAACAGTGGCAAACTTTCAGGGATTATTTAGGTGTGATTTAAATCATTACCTCTCCAGAGGAGATGGAGGTGCTCTTGCTTGCTGCATGGTGGTTACTTTCTAGTTAAAAGAGACTGATTTTAATAAAAGGGGAGATCCTTAAAGCTTATTGCAGTGAATTCCATCTCTGATAAATTACTCATTTATGTAAAACCACAAACCATGAGGTGCTGCTCTCAATCCACATCCTGACTGAAGAAGAAATTTTTTTAGTCCTTTTCTAATATTTTACAGTAAGAATGTATGGAGAAAAGCATGTTTTATAACATGGTTAGTATTTTCTGCAGCAATGCCACCACACTCACTGCAGTCTATAATGGTAAAAAATAATTTATTTCATGCCACCTTCAGAGGGTTTGAGAGGAACAATCTTTCTGGGGAAATCAGTTCAAAGAAATGGTTAAAAATCTAATGGAAGAAGATGCAACAACTATAGATGATCTATCTAAATAATAAAACTATGTAATTGAACACCTAGATGACAATACTAAATAAAACCATCTAAAACTATCTGCAGATCTAGAATTTAACCTGTGTTTCATTTGGGAAAGTAAGCAATTCTTCAGTTTTCTTTGAAAGGCATGGGCTAGTGCAATGCCATTAGGCTGGTCCTCTATGCATGGGGAGCAGCCCTGCTCCCCATCTCCCCAGTTTGTTCAGGTTTCTAAGAATTCCAGTTATGCTGACCATGGAGTATGATCTTCCAGGGAAAAGGTCAGAGGGTGTGTCAATTGTGTGTGCAAACTCTACAGGGATTACTGATGGGCATTATGCAACTACACACATTGCTGCCTTTTACCCTCAACTGTATGAAGCTATATGTGTAATCTCATTAAAACAATTCCACAGACATTCACAAATAAATAGTTCTTAGCAAGAGGAAAGCCCATTTCCCACAGTGCCTGTGAAACCTCCACAGCTGGGACAAAAAAGGACTTAGGTGATTTTCCAAGGAATGTCATTCTGGCAGCATGACCAAGTTCAATTTATTCCTTTT